TTCACCGAAATAGTGAAGTTTTGTCAAACTGTTTATGCTCTAGTTCTCCCGGATCGTGTTACTTTTGGGGTTTTAAATCGATAAACTCAACAATGTATCAATACATTAACGTTGAAGCTTTAAGCAAGGTGAGTTTCAAAGCGAGTTATTTACTCTTTTATTAATTTTAAAATATTTGCTGTCCTTACTTTTTAACTCAGGCAATTGATCAATCCCAAGTATTTTATCATTTATCCACTTGGTAAGTGTTCGGCAAAGTTTGCAGAATTCTCAGCCCTTTCCTAAATACATTACTATCACCAGAAATCATTGCACGAGAAGAGCATCCACGAGAGTTTAAAGAAAATCTAAATGGAGGAACTCCCCTTAAACGGCATACTGTAGATGGATGAGGCAATAATTCTTTTACTGGTACAGCCGTACCGAATATTGCTCCAGCATTCATTAACTGTTTGGCTAAACTGATAAAACCGTCACCAGATACAGATTCAAATGAACGGCTATCAACAACACTATATTCGACACACGCTTCTGTTAGTTGGTGTTTAATTGCTGCATAATCATTTGGTTGTGCTTTACAATAAGATGAGGTCGTACATTGACGTCCTTTTGGTGTGATACTCCTTATACCATTTTGTTTCGGACAACTGTGATTTTTCATTACTTTCGTACCGTTTTCACTAATCCATTTCAAAACAGTTCCACTAGATAAACAAACAACGTAGTCTTGGGAAACTTTCGATAATTGTATTTGGGAAAATGATGTCCAACAATCACTACGACTGATAGCCGGTTCAATGAAAGAAATCGTTGGATCTTTCGCTGTGACCAATGCTTGTAACTTTGTTTTCAATTTATTATTACTCTTAGCATTAACAAGTGACATACTTAATGAATAGGAATTTTGGTTGAGTACGTGAACATGTGCCATAAAAGTGATACGAAAGCCTGTAAACGCTATTTTATAGGTTTGCGTATGCGTTCTTTCCGATGGTGTGGTTTTTACAGGTTCAGACATGTTTTCATCAAGATTTTCTAAAGATTCGGTCTCTAGTGAATCCGACTAAAAGTGTTTTTGAACTTTGTGAATCACAATATTGGAAAGAGTACACACGAAAACCTGTAAAAATAATTAAGATCATAATTAAGATCAAAAGAATAATTAAGATCATGCGAGGTCTCGCGAGATATCATGATTGCACAACATCAAATATAAACAATATAAATAGCACTTCTAACCAAATATGCACAAGCGCAGGCTAGTCTAACTGCAGAGTGTTCGTCTTATAAACCAAGAAAAACTTTACCACGCGAAATACTGAAAAAAAACCACGTGAGTTCTCCGCAGAAAATTGTAACTATAAATCCTGCAAGATGTGAGAAAAATATACGGGAGGTCCTACGAGAAGATCGCGAACACTCTTTTAAAATTTTTTCAGAAAATCTCGCGAGATCTCACAGGATTTTCATCTCAAAAGATGTCTTCACAATAGAATCCTACGTTTCGTCTGATAAAAATGCGTGTTTTTACCTCGCGAGATCTTTTGGGGAGAAAACCACGCATTTTTATCAGACGAAACGCAGAATTTTTCTTCGCGAGAACCACGCTTCAATTCTCGCGAGATCTCTCGGAATTTTGTCCAGTTTTTTTTCAGTGGACATCTGCTAAAATACATATAAGCATTTTCAAAGAAGAAACATACAAAAATCTAGATTCTTGATATTTCGAAAATTGTATAAATTTGTTGGACGTTTTTTGTAGCATGTGAAAGCTTTCTCCACTTCGTCCTGCTACTTCTCTTCCATTGGAGATACACCACCTGATTCAGACTCTGTGTTTTTCATTGCTTCTTCTTCTTGACGACGATAAATTCTACAAATACTTCCTTGTAAAACCGCGAATAAGCCGAAACAATAATGAGCAGTATAACATTTATAAATGAACTTACTTATAGGAAACTTGTACCGATGTTTTATTGAAATATAACGTGACAGATTCAAAGAAGCTGATTCTGAAGAAGCAGATTTATTAGTGCAGTTAGGATGCTGACAAAAACGAGATGGTTGGTAATAAATTCCGAATTTGTATCGATGTTTTGCACAGATTTCTCGAATATCCGTTACTTCCACATTTGATAAGCCACAACGTGAAACAATAAAGTCCAGTTCTGAGACATAATCTAGTCCTACTGTTACATTTGATTTCAATTGATCAATCGAAAACATGTCTGAACTTTTTGCCTTTATGCTTGGTCCACAATCGTGTAAATGATCATAAAATGGTACAGTTTTGAAATTTCGAATCTTGACCTGTCGTCATTTTTGTTTAAATTTCAGCTCAAATTATAAATGGTTTATGTTAAACACACGATACTTGAGAGTCATTGACTTTTGTATGAGTTCGAAAAAATACTGATCGCCAAAATCACGTCTTATTCCGCGAGTCTTACAGCGAACTCGTTACACGATCGTGGCGCGAATTTTTAAAGAGACTCGCGTCGCGATATACGATATACGTTTTTTATCGGTGCCGATATCTGTATATATCTACCTTTTTAGTTGTTATTTCCGTTCCTTTCCGAATCCGCTAAGAATGACGTAGCATGATGACACATTAAAAGTTCGAACAACTTTATATTTTGCCTTTTTTCATATGTTCTTTTGTTTTGAAGGCTCCCTGGAAGCACCTATAAAATCCATGATGTTATTCAATGGTACTGATCGATCGGTACCATTGAACTGAGGGGCGTTTAATCTTATAGCCAGAGATTCTTTGATCATGTGACAATATTGCTGACTGTCTCTAGCCAGGAATTTTATATTGTTAAAATCAATGGACTGCCCGTTTTCTACAGCATGCTTATAGTTTTCTGTGCACATTGTACAAGGTAACTGTTAAGTTTTTCAGATATAATAATATTAAGTTTTTTATATGCTTTCCTAAACATTAATGGTACCGATTAGTTAGTTATTCATATTACTTAAAAATAATGACTTTAAATATTTTCCTCGAAACAATCGAAAACAATTTCTTGCAACTTTGAATAAGATTTAATAGACGTCTATTAAATCTATTTGAACATTTTAATTTGAACGGAGCTATTTTATACTCTTTGCTATTTTTATGTTACTTTCGCCGATACCATTTCTGAAATTTTCAAGTTTCCAGGGAGCGTTTTATATGTAATAAATAAAACCTTTAAACACTTTAATTATTTTTCTTGTCTTAGGCAGGGAGATATACACTACCTATCCTCAGCTCTACCACTCTAATCAAACTTTCTTCTGAGATTACATTCGGGTTGATACAACAAATCTAATCTTTATTTAATGAAAAAGCCAATTTAGCTGCTTTTGAGTTTATGGTAATTCAGCAACAATACAAGATTTTTCATCTGTAAAACCCTAGAATTTGCGAAACATCGCTTCAGAGTTCTGAGTACAAAAACAGCTCATTTATCGATTGGCAAAAGTTGAAAATCATTTCGTCATCACTTCTGTTTTACATCAATTCATTTTGTGTAGCCTCAACATCATTGTTTTTAATGTTTTCGATGTCACTTACTGCCCTAGTCGACCGATCTTACGGCAATTCTGTAGAAATCTTATAAGAATCTTATATAAGGCAGTCGATGGAAATGCCTAATTTATTGATAAGATTCTCATAAGAATTCGGTAAGATAGAATATATAATTATTTTATAAGAATTCATAAGATTTTAATATCTGATAAGAATCTTATAGGAAGGATATAGTACAATTTCATCACATTCTTTAGTGATCAGTACTCTATATTAAACTTTCTTACTATAATCTATTGTTTCATACGTGAATAAAATAATTTTCTTCCCACTTATTTTTCTATAATAAGACCTTAGTTCCACACGCGGACAGTCTCATGACTTGTCCGTACTGTCTACTACTTGTAGACCGAATTTACTTCCACAAATCTATCATGACTGTGGGAAGAAAATGAAGTTCGAATAATAAAAATATGTGAGATGAGAAAGCAGGGCACGATTTGTTACTCGTTTGTATAAATCCCGCTTTTTCAAACCTACAAAAATGCGCTACTTGAGATCCTTTTTTTCTATAAAGATCAGATTCAATTCGGATTCTCTAAGTCGCTGAAAATAGAGCAGGTCGAATGCTACTAATATGCATCAAAACTCTTTTCATAACTGTCTTCATAAAGCACTAGAAGCAATCATAAAAGAACTTCATCTACTAAGTTAAGATTCTGATAAAAAAGCGGGATTTATACAAACGAGTAACAAATCGTGCCCTACATTCTCATCTCACATATTTTTACTATTCGAACTTCATTTTCTTCCCACAGTCATGATAGATTTGTGGAAGTAAATTCGGTCTACAAGTAGTAGACAGTACGGACAAGTCATGAGACTGTCCGCGTGTGGGACTAAGGTCTTATTATAGAAAAATAAGTGGGAAGAAAATTATTTTACTCACGTATGAAACAATAGATTATAGTGAGAAAGTTTAATATAGAGTACTGATCACTAAAGAATGTGATGAAATTATACTTTATCCTTCTTTAAGATTCTTATCAATAAATTACGCATTTCCATCGACTGCCTTATTAAGAAATTCATAAGATTCTTGGATATATTCTATAAGATTCCTATAGGAATCTTATATAAGATTTGATCTCTAAGATGATAGGATGTGACTGAAGTAAAATAGAATCCTTTTGTTGTTTCTCTTAAGAGTCAAGATCCAGAATTCTATACCTAGAAAAGGAATGCTATAGACACATTGATTGCTACAAAATATTCTTATTACCAGGAAAAAAATAATAATCGAGCGAAGAGACGATTAAAAGCGATTTGTCAGCGGTTAAAATTTCGTTACTCCAAACACATATTTTCCTTTGTTTCAGTTTATACTTTCTTGGATGACAAGAAAAAAGAGAAAGTGAATTGACAGTCTTTTAAAGGAATATTACAAGATATATAACTCGACAGCAGGCTAAACATTCATGAAAGTCGCTCTGCATAAAATAAATAAGCTCTTTAAGCTGAATAAAAAAAAATTAATTTCAAATGTCCAGAGTAAACCTGGAGTAGAAAAACTGAAGTTTTTAGAAAAATGAGCAGTTTTCAAAACTTTTCAATTTTCCCTCGATTAATTTCTTTGAAAAACTAAAAAAAACATATTTTTTGACTCATGTCGATGCGCTCGATTCAATCATGTATAAATCAACAAAAAATAAAAATCTGCTCAAGTCTTTCATTGCCGATACCTTAAAATATTGCAAAGATTCGTGTCCGAAATGGCAAGAAAAAAAGAATTGAGAAATAAGTTCCTTACGAAAATCGTCCAGTGACTATATTTATTTGTTTGTACTATATTCGTTTGTAGGCCTTGATAATTCATTGAATGATTAGTAGATTTCCTAGATTTTTCAGTTTTAAGGACGCAACACCGCTGACAGAAATTTTCGCATTTGTTCAAGGACCGAGCGAGGTTTCATTCCCAAAAAATCGTGCACAAAATAAGCGTTGTTTTTCCATCTACAAACAGATGTGTCGGAGTAAATTGCATAGTCATTGTACCGCTGGTTATCAGAGAATGTTTTGCTTATAAAAACTGTTCGGCTCAACCTACTCCGATTAAAATCTCATTTTACATCGAAAATGTTCACTAAGATTATTTCGTCTATGTTTCGACTAAAATAACTTAGAATTCTAACTCATCATACAATTCGCTGAAATCTGACCTATTCGTCTGAAATTACAAAAAATTTGTGGGGTCTATACGTTATCCTTTGTTTTAACAATAATGTCGCAGCAACGATAGTATTTACTTTTCTATCGCGTTTATAGTCAGAAACTTACTTTTTGGCGATCTTTTAGGAATTTTTAAG